ACTTGAACTTCTTGTGTTTTTTAACCCTTCCAGCCCCATGCGCGTATATTTTCAGCAGCACTTGCACCTCCCACGGTCCCAAGAGCATATATACTGTTTTTGGGGGGTACAGAATTTGCGCATTTTCGGAAAGAGCGAACCTAATTAAACTTTAATTTTCATATTTGTACATTTACCATTAAACATTGTTATATGTTATTATCTAAACCCTCATTACAAAGATACTACATCACTTTTAGAATGCATGCCTCTTTTTCTGAAATACTGCTTAATTGGCTGGGACTGGGATAAGGGAGTGCACAAAAATGGCTGGGGCTGGAAGGGTTAATGTATGTATGTATTTCTTGTAAGTAAATTGTTAAATGTAAGTTTTGACTACTTCCTCAACTAGTTTTATCTTTTATGTCATGTATATTGGGACTGGAAGTGTAACACTACAGGTTTTTCATGCTGTCCTCTGTTTAATTCCCCTGACTGCCCAATAGCAAGGGAAATGACTCTAACACGACTAGGTGAAGGACGATATCCTAATGAGTTATTTCCCTTTGTACACACTGATGAGATAGCTTGGGGTTGTTTTTTTATGCAAGTATGTATTTCTTGTTAGTAAATCTTTTGATCTAAGTTTTTTTGACTTTGTATTCTAGCTGACACAGCCCTGTGCTCTGCTATCTTCAAACCTGGTCATAAATGAGACTTTCTTGTGGTGCTAGAGACTATAAACCTGTACCAGAAAAAAATTAACAAAGTCAAATAATTGATTTTTGTTTTTAAAAAATGTATTTATGTATTATTTGTCTTATAAATACTTTTGTATTGGCTATTCCATACCACAACTTGTGCATGAGTATCAAGGTACCAGACCTGCCAAGTGGTGTGATAAAATTGGCAATCTGCAACTGGCATAGATTCTTTGTTTATCCGTCCCCCGTCGTTTTATGAAAGAAAAATTATGAAATTATGCAAACTGAGCCCAAAAATGTGAAATTAAGCGATTCTGTTAATTTTTTACAAAGAATGATGAAGGAAAAAAATCAGAAATTATGCAAAAAATGATCAAATTTTGCTAAATTATGCGGGGTGCATAAAACCACGGTTACAGGTTTATAACAGAGGCACAAATCTCTGCACAAAGTGACAAAGTCAGATACACAGCTGCCGGGTACACAGATAAAATTGGAGCCATCTGATTAGTTCTGTTGGTATCATTGTGGACAAAGTAGATGGCCCTGGTTCAAGTACCGGGCTGGGCCTTCATGAACTCTGGTGGTTTGTGGAGTTTTCAAAGCTCTCAACCCACATGTCTTTGTCCTATCGAAGACGGACTTTAAAATTTAGGGGTTCCGCCACTTAAATAGCCTAATAGTGTTGGTATGGACTTTAAAAAAAACCTATACAACGACATGATAAGGTACAGATAAAAAACTGTCCTGACTGTCCTCCATGTCACTGACATCGACAACTTTGTTCACAGGGGAGAGGAAGGCAGCAGCCCCCTCCTCCTCTAGATCTGTCCCTTCCTCAACAAACTTGCGGAAACTTTCACCGCCAACGTCTGCCCCCACCATCAACATGTCTGTTGACAAAGGCGTGTTGGCGTGGAGTGGCAGTCTCAAGTCTCAGCTACCCAGTGTACTGCCCAGACAAGCCAGGCAAGTTTGGTGTCAAGATAATTCCAGCTCTGTGACTTCAGCAATGCCCACTGCACACTTGCCAAGTACTCAGATAAAATTGGAGCCCTTCAATATAATATTTTTTTCATAATCTATTCTTGAACCCCAAGTGGATTGACCCAAATCAGTGTTTTTTTGGAGATAAATTGAAGTCCATTCCCATCAGTTATGCGCAGCTTATTGTAACTGACAAAAAATTACGTTGGTTTATTTGCAATATTTGTCTGACTTACTATAAATGAAGTGAAAATACACGTTTTTATCTGTGTGTATTTACTATACTATTCTATAATGGTTTATTTGCTACTTTCGGTATGTAATGTGATCTACCGCGGTTCTGGAGACTCCATTTTGTCCTTGTTTCCTTGACACATGACAACAATCCAGTAGACAGGGATCATCCAGCAGCAGACTTGCTTACACTTACAGATTTAACAACAAAGGACAATGCTGATGACAAGGAAAATGAAAATGATTCCTCGGACAGAGCGGAGTTGAGTCAGGAAATGTTTTTTGTTTTAAAGTGCACTTCATCTGTACCTGCAATAGAAATGTCGACTGTTGTGACCCCAGCACGTCACTGACTTGAGCACTTGACAGCCATGGAAGATGTAATGGTGATGAGCTGATGGACAACTTAACAGACAACGATTTTAAACTTCTATCAACAAAAGTGGCGACATCTATGAGGACAGGAGATAGCTGGGAGACGCGGGCCCGGGGACTCTCTTGAACTTATCGTCCAGCTCAGTACTGAGTACCATCTAGTTATGGGAACCCCTCTCCAACTCATACAGCTCACAGCTTCTACTGGGGTCCTATCAAGCCATCTAGTTGTGGAAACCTCTCTCCAACAAAGACAAAAAAACATTTTAATGGGCCTACGGCAGTCCTAAGCCTGCAAACCAACTCCAGTTGGGAACTCAGAAGGGAATGTTTTTTTAATAACCCACCCCCACCCCAAGAGAAAAAAAACACCTCAGCCTGAGTGGTCGGTGGGTGCTCTGGTGTGGTTTGTGCCTTCTTTCCTGTTAAACTTCTATTGTCCTTATAATATCTCTCCTATTCTTTGTATGTTACCCTCCAGTACTTACTTTCACTTTTTCTGTCCTCTTATGCCACAAGGTGTGGAGGGGAGGTCAATTGTTGGATTTATGCTAGGTGTTTTGATCATCATGCTGTTCCTTTGGAGGGTCTCTTTGACTTCGTTGATCCATCTTTTTCTTGACTTTCCTTTTGCCATGAAGTTGAAGCCATCGAATCACAGTGGGTGGTTGACGGGTGCCTTTGTGTGGTTTGCTTCTTCTTTCCTATCAAACATCTACCATCTTTATCTCTCCTCCTCCTTCTTTTTTTGTGTTTGTTACTCTCTTGTAACACCTCTAATCTTCGGCACTTATGACCTTATTCTGTTGTAACACACTTACTAAAACTAAAACTAATCTGTTTTGTCTTCTTTATCGCCAGCAATGGTACTGATACTGATACATGGTTTTTATTTGGTCACTTTTTTAGCACAAGGGGCCTGTCCCGAAAAATGCTGTTTTGAGAAAATAGAAGGTAAAGTTTTTGCCCCTTGTTCAGTTTCTTTAAAAGACATGGAGAGTTTTCTCTATAAAAGGGGCCCGTTCAAATATAATCTTACGCCTGAGGAGGGGGGGCGGGTCTTTGGTTCCTGTAAGAAAAGTGTAGGGGGGGGGGGGGGGGTCTTTAACTAATGTAATATTATACTTTTGTGAGGGGAAAAAATTTTTTTCGACATAATGATGAACTCTGCATTTGTTGATGATAACTAATTTCACTTTTTTTTTCACCATAAATGATCAGTAATAACATAGATACAGTGGAATCCTGATAAAGTCAACTTGCTTACAGTCAACACCTCACTGTAGTCCCGTTTCTTAAGTTGAAGTAATTGTGTTTCTGATTTTCTAATACAGTCTACCACTTGAGTATTAACCTTTCGTGAAGTCAACAATTTGGGGCTAAATCCTGAGGTGAATTCATTCTAGAAGAGGTATTTCGCCTGAGCAAGTGGTGTACACACCACCAATTACATATGTACTTTGTTCTTTCGTTATCTCTTGTTTTGGTGACAACTTC